AATGTGTCATGTATGATCCGGACACAGTAACCTTGATGTCACATCCAGTTGAACATACATGACACAATAACCTTGGTGTCTCATCCAGTTGAACATACATGACACAATAACCTTGGTGTCTCATCCAGTTGAACATACATGACACAATAACCTGGGTGTCTCATCCAGTTGAACATACATGACACAGTAACCTTGGTGTCTCATCCAGTTGAACATAAATGACACAATAACCTTGGTGTCACATCCAGTTGAATATACATGACACAATAACCTTGGTGTCACATCCAGTTGAACATACACGATACAATAACCTTGGTGTCACATCCAGTTGAACATACATGACACAGTAACCTTGGTGTCACATCCAGTTGAACATACAATACACAATAACCTTGGTGTGACATCCAGTTGACACAGTAACCTTGGTGTCTCATCCAGTTGAACATACAATGTATGTTCAACTGGATGTGACACCAAGGTTACTGTGTCATGTATGTTCAACTGGATGTGACACCAAGGTTACTGTGTTATGTATGATCAACTGGATGTGACACCAAGGTTACTGTGTCATGTATGTTTAACTGGATGTGACATCAAGGTTATTGTGTTATGTATGTTCAACTGGATGTGACACCAAGGTTACTGTGTTATGTATGATCAACTGGATGTGACACCAAGGTTACTGTGTTATGTATGATCAACTGGATGTGACACCAAGGTTACTGTGTCATGTATGTTTAACTGGATGTGACATCAAGGTTACTGTGTCATGTATGTTCAACTGGATGTCACACCAAGGTTACTGTGTCATGTGAGGAAGGGTGACTTGTGTATAAAGGCAGCTATACGTCTGCATACAATGAGCTAATGTCCTCTTTTTTTGATCAATTACAGAAATGTATATAATACACTGATATGTTTTTATCAAAATCACTTTATTAAATTCTGACAGGTACAGGAGTAACTCTAGCAGTGTACAAAACTGGTGATAAAGTAACCAAACTGTAATAGTCCAAGAACACTAAAGAAATCTTGAAAAAAATGAAATCAATTCAAATTGAGATCATAATATAATGCTTCCTAAAAAAATGTTTTTGTGATTATTTCTCTGTCAGATGTTGCAGAAACAAGATTCCATACAATAAAAAAGATTTACACAAATACAACACAGATTTCATTAGGTAAAAAATATACCAAATTATAAAGGAATTAAATGTGTTTACAATTTGCTTTATTTCAATTAATCAAAATTTTTTTCGTGCAATAATTGCAAAAATCTCAGGCACAACAACTATTAAGCTATTCCTGAAATCTTCAATATTCTTATTATCATAAGGAATGATCAAAAGGAAAAATCTGCTTAGGTTTTTTTTTCTTCTGAAAATAGAAACTTTTAACCATATTTTCTGAAACTTCAATATTTTTAAAAATTAAAGTAAACCTTTTCATCAAACAAATTGTTCTCGTATATATATTGTTAAAATAAACTAACACTACATCTTTAGTTTAGTCAATAGAAGTTTTTAATAGACATTCACAAACTTCCTTCATCATCAATCTTCTCAAGCTTGCTGCGTGTAGAATAAAGGACATCATGAATCTCATTAAGGCTAATCTTCATACACTCCACAAACTGTTTTCCGTCACAGAAACCATCATAGGAACTCACAAGGCAACCAAGCATATTCTCAAAGAAACCATAGGCAATTCCATAGCCGTCTGGCACCACTGCTCCGAAGCCTCCTCCTCGGAAAGCTGCTCCAGACAAGGTGGAAGTGGAAAGAATAAAGTGATTGGCAGCTACGTAGGCTTCATCCTGAAAGATTTCAGGAAGCACTGTCCCCTTCTTTGATGCCACATGCTTTAAGCCAAACATGTGTCTATCGAATCCTTGACCTAAAAAATATGTGGTTCACAATTAAGAGTCGAAACATTATGAAGTTTATTAAGTTAAAATCAGTTGAATAAATCGACATACAATGAAATTAAACTAACATCAGCGAATGTTTTAAATTAAACTAACATCAACGAATGTTTTAAATTAAACTATCATCACCGAATGTTTTAAATTAAACTAACATCACCGAATGTTTTAAATTAAACTAACATCACCAAATGTTTTAAATTAAACTAACATCACCGAATGTTTTAAATTAAACTAACATCACCGAATGTTTTAAATTAAACTAACATCACTGAATGTTTTAAACTAACATCACCGAATGTTTTAAATTTCTTGAGAAGATTTACAATTACCCAAAATACCTTAAGGTACTGATGTAAAGTTTTGTTATTATCTTATAACCCTTCCTTCAAAGAAGTCTGTATCATGTGTTTCAGTGTTGAAAGATAACTCACCTGATAATGTTGAGTTCAAATCCAAACTTAAGAAAGCAGAACACAAAATATCAATATTGTTTCTTATATAAGAAGTTCAAAACCAAATGTATTTCAAAAACTACCAACAAATCAAGAGTGTGTTATAATAATAACCACATTTCCATTCCAAACATATATAAAGTCATGCATTAACACTAATTACCAGTCCTAGCTAGATGTCTTTAGTCTGTATTAGCTAGTCTGGTGCTAATTTTAAATTGTGTATAGTCATTAACCTAACCTATGTGAAAATTTCAATACAAAGATTATAAACTGAGCCAAGTATTAACCTTAACGAAGGCTATTTGCACTAGCCGTCCCTAATTTAGCAGTGTAAGACTAGAGGGAAGACAGCTAGTCATCACCACCCACCGCCAACTCTTGGGCTACTCTTTTACCAACGAATAGTGGGATTGACCGTCACATTATAACGCCCCCACGGCTGAAAGGGCGAAGATGTTTGGTGTGATGGGGATTCGAACCCACGACCCACAGATTGCGAGTCGAACACCCTAACCACCTGGCCATGGGTATTGACCTTAACAAAACTAATAAACATTACTTTCACAGTAGTATTTGTGATGGTTTGTTATAATATTTATAAGTTTCAACACATGAACCTGTATGAAACAATTCTTCCAACTCGTTAGCCATGCCGAGTTAAACAAGATGTCTTCCTTACCCATAGCTGCTTCTTTGGTTAGCTGATTGTGTAATTTGGAACAATCCATTAACAAACTTCGCAGTTCTAATGGAGTTGGTTTACATCTTGAATTGAAAGCCTCTGTGCATTTCTTTGTTGCCATGGTAGCAGGACGTAGGGTTTCGGTTCGGCCATGTTTGAAAGCAGAAGTGCTGCATGACTCGTATGTTGCCACCGTTTTCCCATATTGTTTGTAGTAGGCCATCTGACACAGAAAAACGTAATTATCATTGTTCAACATAAAAATTGGATATCATCATTAGAAGTTTTCTCTATCAATTTCATAATAAACACATTTTTTTTTTTTGCTCAGACACACCTATGTAAAAATATAAAGATATTAATACTATTGATTCTACTGGTATTATACACTTTGACATAGGCTCTCTTCTCTCCAACAATATATTCTAGTTTCTTCCAATATTAATGCCCAACTTAATTTGACATAAGTTGTATCTGTCTCTGCCTTTTCTAATTAGTGTGCTATGTTACACATTATATATTACACACACAAACATAAGAAAAAGAAAGGTCTATCTTTTGAAAGCACTTGGGTTATAGGGTTTTATTGTTTTATGTAAAACCTTCTTGAACCTACATGTTTTTCTGATATCATGTATATATATATATATATATGTACAGGGTGGTCCAAAATTATTTTTCCAACTCTTAAAATCTAATAATTAAATAACTAATGAGACACAACCGTGCAGTTTTCAACACCTTGTAGCTCAACTCAAACAGTTTTTAATAAGATGTCAGTAGACTTCTACGTGTGCACCATTAGCGGCTCTCGGAACGTTTAACAGATATTGAATTTCAGTCAACGTTCACTGCAACATGCTCACAGTTACAATAGCGATTGTGTCTGTTATCCTGATCTTTAGATTTTTGATGTTTGTTATAAGTTCACGATACATGATACCTTTAACATACCCCCATACTTCTTTCCTGTACTGGCATCTGTAAATATGCTGTACCACAGTCATTTAATCTCTGCAAGCCAAATGACACATTGAGCCTTTTCTTGCATGGTTGAAATTTTACAGGGTAATATTACCCACTGGAGTGAAAACAAACATGACACAGTTTTTATTGTGAGTTGGGCTACAAGATGTTACGTAAAATAGGCAACCATAGGGTAATACTG